CACCATGAGGCTCTGCCAGCTGCCTCATGGGTGCCCACTGTCTCTGAGGCTTTTTTACTGGTCCTTCCGTACCTCATCGGCCCCAATTTCACGCAAATTGGGCCTTGACACAACCTAGGATGGCAGGAGTGCCATCCACGATGAGTAATGACACAGCGATTAACGGGGGGGGGGGGGGGGGTGGAGGTGGCAGCCTGCCACCTCCACCCAGCTACGTCTTGCTCCAGCTCCTGCCCAGCTCAAACTTACTATTTGGCAGGGTAAGGGAACACAAAATGCCCATATCTCCTCCCCTACCTTGTCTTGACCAATCAGCACAAAGCCAGCACAACTCCATGGTGCCGCTACCAATAAGTGTTGAGCTACAATAAGCTACCGCTACTACCAGCTGTTCGCGCCAAAACTCGGCTAGGAGCAGAGATGCCTAACCCAATCACAGGCCTCCCTCACCCTCAGGCGTCCCGTGACGTCACAAGGAGGGGGAGGCCTAAAGACAGTGGTGCAATGTCTCACATGGTAGGGGGGGGGGGGGCAACGTTCACCCCACTGTCCCCCCCACCTCTAACGGTTATAGACCAGTACCTACACTCACCGCTCACTTTCAACTCCCATCCTATTTCACAGAAACAGGAAAATTTCTGTAATTCTCTCTACAGAGCAATCACAGACTTCTGACTAGTCTTAAACAAGAGCTTTCATCCAACACCCCACAAGTGTATGTTAGTTTGAAAACTTCTTGACTAGAGTCCCTAGAGCGACTAGCCTAATCTAGAAAACTACTACTGAAGGACTCTACATTCCCTCACACTTACTTCTATAATTTAACAATTTATTCACAAAAAAGATAGAGCTACTACAACAAAGAGTTTACGTTACTTTACTGTCACTCCAGTGGCGCATTAAAGAGCAGCTATTCAACAGCCTGATGGACCCACGGTCTCCTTATCCCGTCGTCGCTGACTGACTAATGACACTAACTGAACAAAGTGGTGCCCACTGGTGACGCAAGCTTGCAATCAATAGTGTCACGGCTTCACGGGGAACAAATACTATAATCACAAAACTTGACTGGTGCTCGCTGCTCTACCAACGAGGTACCAATTAACAAAGCGGTTAATCCAAGAATAACCCCTTATAAAAAAAATTACATTAACACTTGCCTCTAAGGACAATCAACAAGAAGATTTACACTAATTGAATTTAAACAATTACATTAACACACACGTGTCTCAACGACACTTAAATGACAGCAATAACTCGTAAATCAAATAATTACATCAACTTGAAAGTCAAACATTCGGTGAGTAATTCCCAATTTTTTTTGAGATATATACAAGAGTTGTTACATTCTTGTACAGTCACTAGTACGCGTAGCGTTTCGGGCAGGTCCCTGGAATACGATCCCCTGCCGCGAAGAATCGTTTTTTCATCCAAGTACACATTTTACTGTTGTGTTAAACAGAGGCTACAGTTAAGGAATTGCGCCCAGTAAATCCTCCCCGGCCAGGATACGAACCCATGACATAGCGCTCGCGGAACGCCAGGCGAGTGTCTTACCACTACACCACGGAGACTGCTAAACTTTAATTACTGAAAACAACAGCCTATTAATTCAGACGAGTATTGATAAAGCCTACTGTCTCAACTGACAGTCCACTTCCGGTCTTACAACAAGATTACCTTAACGAGGGTAGACTAGTGTACCACACACAAGGTTACAAGACAATCCGTGTAAACAACATCAACACCTGGTGAATTCACTAAGTGGCGGTTACTAATTATCTTTAATTAGCTACGAGTGCTTAATCTCTCTGTCCGCAGACAGATCTGATTAATCCAAATAATTACAGCAGCTTGCAGCACAATTGACTCCGATCATAACAGACTGGTCAAGCCCTTACGTCAATCAATCAATTAACGACAGATCGTTAAATCTTTAACACTACGTTAGTCTTCACTTGACAGTTCCTCCACTTCGTGAACTTCACTGTGACTGTTGCTATTACACGTCTCTACGTTAATCACAACAATGTTCAACAAAACAATAATGACCTCGTTAAGTAAATCGTGACCCCCGGTGACGTTATATGACTTTAATTCTCACGGAATCCTTCACAGTACACAATGCATTCCACCAAGGACACAACTTGTCTACAGTTTACACACGGTACAACACAGTACATCACAGTACATCCTTGCCACTCACTTGTAATTTCCTTCCCCAGTAAATTATCTACCAATAATTCACAACTTTACCACAACACAACAGTAAAGTAAGTACTGGCCAATATAATAATATAATTATTTATAACCAAGGGAAACCTCCCTGTTACCACTTTCAATGCTGAAATTGAAAATGAAATAAGTTTATTGAGGTGAAATACACACAAAAAGATGAGGTAGCTCAACCTATTCTCACCCCGTTCAGTACATCGTGTTAATACATACATATAAACACATCACAAACAATAAACATATTACCAAACATTCTGAGAGATAAACATCTACATTTCCTCTTTTACACAGGTACTTTCACTGCTGGACATAGGGAATCAAATTACAGCGAATTACATACACGGCACATAAAGAAAATGGAAACAACTAAAGATCACTTTACTCCACCATTGAATGTGTCTGTGTCCTCACACACGTCAACCTCACAGTTGGGCTCAACCTCAACTTGGTGACGGCAACAGGGTAACTCACACGTCTCCAATTCCCATTCACCTCACTAGGTGGTCGACAGGAACAGAGGACAGACGGAACACTGCGTGCGAAACCAGCTTCAGCATTTTATTACCCAAACGGAAACAGTGTACTTACATCACTCTCGCGGGCCCGCCATACACACACATACATACACGACAACCTCACTCCCACTGCTGCTGCTGCTGGATGATGACGTAGGCGTCCTCACTTCGTACACGTGGTCGGTTGGAACATGGGGTCCTAGACCAAGGAGATAGCTCCACACACAGAGACCAGGTGGCGCGGACACACCGGCTTAAGGTAGCCAGGAGTGCGCGCAAAACAGATCACACAGATACAGCAGGAGTGCGGTACCATGCCCATCCACTTGACACGGTACCCTAGGATACGACGGTACACGACAGAGTCCTTCACTGTTCACTGTTAATTCCTCGGAATTATGAATTTAAGGTTTCTCTCATAACACTGAAACCTTCTTCAGCTCGTCTCACTGTGGTACCTTCCAGCTAAGATACGACAGACGACGGATGTCACTAACACACGACGATAACAGCCTCACTCAGTCCAGTTGCTCTGAGTTGGCGTCTCACGATCATGCGGCTTAGATGACTAAGTTCACACTGATAGATCGTTGAAAACACCTTTCCGAAATACCGGATTCTTACAAACGGCACCCGGAAAGATAGCACGACGATGAGCGTGACTTTAGTGTCGTTGCAGGTGGTATTTCCTGGTGCTTGGCCCTACCACGAGAAAATACGTCCTTCTCTAGCAATATTCCTGGTAAGAATAATTTATGGCGCCAAGACGGCTCCTGGATGCCATGCGGTACCCCTAAACATCTAGGCCAATCACGGTTCAGCATTCCTGAGGCCCAAGCGCCTTGGCCGATGGTGTACCTGCTTCACGACGTTACCCCCTCTATCACGAGGTGGACACGTGATGGGGGGGGGGGGGTGTAGTCTACAGCTGTTAACCCCCCAAACCTCCCTCTCTATACTTGACTTGTACAAAAATTTCCCTGAAATCAACTCCCTTCTTGAGGTTATCTTGATATGATTTCGGGGCTTTGGTGTCCCCGCGGCCCGGTCCTCGACCAGGCCTCCACCCCCAGGAAGCAGCCCGTGACAGCTGACTAACACCCAGGTACCTATTTTACTGCTAGGTAACAGGGGCATAGGGTGAAAGAATCTCTGCCCATTATTTCTCGCCGGCGCCTGGGATCGAACCCAGGACCACAGGATCACAAGTCCAGTGTGCTGTCCGCTCGGCCGACCGGCTCCCTCCTGTAATTTCCTTCACAGACCTGATACAGCGATCAGAATGACATCAATGACTACCAAATGTCACTGGTTGTCTAACGACACCCAACACGACTGTGGAAAAGTTATATTCAGAAAGTTGAATCACGGTGCACATCACTGGTGCACTATGCAATTTCGTACTTCATCCAGTGCACGAGAGAGTAGGAAAAATCTGTCTCCTGACATCAACCTCCTACTAAGGGTTTATTTCCATGGAAGCAAAACACACCCCACCATTTTACCAGCTCAAGGGTGCACTGAGCACAAGCTGTCACACGAGCAACCTGTCCTCTTAAAAAGAACGTCGCTTTTGGCAGTTTACCCGTATGGCCGAATATGGACGTAATTTGAAAATGAAAAAAATGAAAATAAATTTCGGATTTTTTTTCAACAACAGTAAGTTAAGGGTACTCTGATAGGTTAGGTGGGCAGGAAATTTTCATAAAGTTCCAAAACGGTATGAAAAACGTTAATGGAAAGTTTCCTCTTCTAAGCTTGCTGAGTAAACCTGACGACTCAAACTGAAAACGGAACAGTACGTCACTTTCGTGAGTCGATTTCATTTCATATTATGTCCAAATTTGGCCATAGCGCGCATGCGAGCCAAAAGTGACGTTATTTTTAAGAGGACGGGTTGCTTTGACGGCTCACTTCCGGCTGGGTGGTTGCGGGTGGAGACTCCGTTTTCTATGGGTCGTCGCTCTGAGAGATTTGGGGGTGACTCCTCCGGTTTGTCCTGGGTAGTATTATTTGACTTTGGCACAGAGTGGTGCTCGGCTCCAGGGCCAGGCTCTAGCCAGCTCGACGCCTCGAAGCTAGACTGGACCCCCAAGCTCTGCAGCTCCGGCTTTAGTCTGTGTCGTACCGGACACACTAGCAACACTTTGGGATGTACTACCAGGAGAGGCACTATCTTCACTCTCCTCTGACCTTGATGCCGCATCATCACGTTCCTCATAACGTTTTAACATGTTAACATAGTACTTCTTATTGACCCCCCTTTACGCATATGACGTACGTCAATGAGTGACTGCACTCAGTGATGGTGAAGGGTCCCTCCACTGTAGCAGTCGAAGGGACTCGATATTCTTCTTCCTGCTTGTAGGGAGAATTAGGAGTACTTTCTCCCACTTTAAACTTCCTCTCCCTGGCCTTCTGACAGTACCTGCTCTTCTGGTACTCTTTGGCCTTGGCGAGTTTCTCCCTGGTCAACTTGCATGTCTCTTCTAGACGGTTCCTCAAATCTATGATGTACTCATACGTCGTCTTGGTTTCTGGGGTACAGTCTTCCTCCTCCCATAGATTCTTCAATGCATGCAGCAGTCCCTTTACCGTGCGACCATTCAGGAGCTCGAACGGTGAGAACCAGGTACTTGCCTGGGGTACTTCCCTGTAGGCAAACAGTACCGGGTTAATGTACCTTGGCCACTCCTTGGGTTGCTCTATTAACATCTTCCTGAGCATTCTCTTTAGGGTATCATTAAACCGTTCCACCAACCCATTTCCCATAGCATGATAAGGTGTGGTGAATGATGACTGCAACATGAGTAGCCTAGCTACTTCCGTACTTCCGCCATCATCTCACTGGTGAACTGTGCCCCCCCTGTCACTGTGTATCTTCTCAGGTATACCGAGGCGGCTGAAGAACCCAACCAATGCTTCCGCCACTGTGACGGTCTCGATATTCTTCAAAGGTGCCGCCTCTGGATACCGAGTAGCATGATCTACCATGATCAGTATATATCTGCTGCCGTCTGATACCCTCGGCTCAATCGGGCCAGTTATATCTACACTGACCATCTTAAATGGTTGATCGATGATGGGGAAAGGCTGCAGCTTCCCTAGCTGCACCTTACCTCTGTCAGCGGTGCGTTGACAGGCGTCACACGACCGAGTATACCGCTGTATGTCCCCAGTCATCCCTGGCCAATAGAATGATGACTGAATTCGTTCATTGGTCTTTGCATGTCCCATGTGACCCCCCATTACTCCCTCATGACCGAGAGTAAACACAGCTAGGCAGTGCTCTTTGGGGACCAGTAATTGTTCCCAACTGTCCTGGGGTGTTTCCACCCTGCGCACTAGCTTGCCTTTAACCTCCAAGTACTTATACTTGCGCTCATTCAAGGTGAAGACCTTGCCCTCTGCGGCATTCTCTCTCATCTTCCTGAGTGTGGGGTCTTTCCTTTGAGCTTCCTGGAACTCTTTAGCACTTACTCCTTTCAAAGAATGTAGTTTCAGCGGCTTGACCACTTTGGTGGGTTGCGCACTCATTGCGCGTGTCGTCACCGCGGCTACTAAAGCCTTGTTCCCCCTGGGAGCAGCAGTGACACCCTCAGTCACCAGGGGTCTTCCCCCTCTCCTCTTATCTACCTCCGAAGTGGTGACCCTTGCCCACCCTCGGGGTGCAGGACCTGGCTGGATCAGCTGATCGAGCCCCCACCCACCTCCTTGGGTTTCTTCCCGTTTTCTGTTGGCGGAAAAGAGCAGACTTCCCCCGTTTACCTTGTGTTGGAAATTTCCAACACAAGGAAATTACACAATAATACTGTTGTATTATTATTAATTATTACTAAAATCTACTAATCATTGTAGTAATTAAAATTAACCAACCGTAGAGTTCACATGTACTAATAATTACATCTGTACGATAAGGCTAGAATTCTTACGTCACCAGACGCCAGTATTGCGTCAGATTCCATTATAATAAACACAACTATATCCAGTGTGTCTGAGAATTGAGTTTGATTCTCTATAAAACAACGGTGTTCTGTGTGATAATTATTTACAGATAAACTGATCCCCAACTAATGCCAAATAGAGCGTTTATAGTTATAACTGTTATCTGGTAGTAAATTTAACGTCACGCGTGAATGCCCTGGAGAGACTTTAATTCCTCTCCATTGCTTGTTTACCATCGTAAAACGAGCGAATAATATTATTTAACTCCTCTGAATAATAAACCCGTCCTCACCCGAGCATTTCAATCACAACTGCGAGAGATGATATTATTCGTTGTTAATAATTTGTGTAGCAAATGCGGGATGCGGAGCGGGGAGAGAGAGACGCCATTACCCAAGCCACCAGAGTGGACGCCATCAAGAGCGCAAGACGAAAGTCGCCACTGTGAGGTGTGAAGAACCTTTGCAGACAACAACTTAGCTGGTGTCAGTGTCACTTTATACGTCGTGTTGAATTGTCAAGAGATTTAATTTGACATTCAGCCAGGAACCTGTTAAATTTGTTCCGTATAGCACAACGTGACCGGCCAGAGAAGCGCTTCAACATCTAGGCTAGGCTCGACACCACGTATTCGTTACAACGACGCCTGAACCTAGGACACAAACTTTGGCAAGCCTTAACTTACACAGTGCCCTATTAGCTAAGTACCTTTATTCCCATTTGATGCATCATTTAGGAGGGGGTTATAGCTGGGTAGCTTGTCGTCACGCAGAGCGAATATAAAAAACCTCAGGTTATTATCTGTCCCCATTCTCTAATTTAATTTTCTTGAACATAGATGTCTAGCAGCTTAATCTGTTGCTACTGAATATAATTTGATTTGCAGCGTGTGTGAAGAATTCCCCGAGCTGTCATTTCCCGTGTTAATCATCTCCCAGTGTTCCATGACGAGTTCAGGAGATTCCGAGGATGAGTCATAACCGATGTCTTGGAAAACGTCTTCAAGCTAAGACCCTTTCCGTATTCCTTAAATTACATTATCTGTAGCATTATTCATGCGGAGCACTGTTTTTGGATTGACATGTGTTTATTATAATTATTAATTTCTCATGTTCATAATCTATGTTCTTATTGGAGACAAATACAATGATTCTATAATTGGTCATAGGATTAGATTATTGCATAATGAACTGGTGCACGAACCACACTAGTTCCTGGACATATATGAAGTTCCAGTAATAACCACCCAATGTAGGTGTTTGAGGCTTTGATTCAGTTAAATTATAAGCCCATTAATTATATAAGTGATCATATTCTCTAGTATTTTATCCATAGTTACTGGTTCATCTAGGGATTTTCTAATGATCATATTTTATTAGTTTCCCTCTTTACTATAAAAGCGGGTGGTCCTTCGTAATAGAATTTCATTACATTAATATTTAAATAAATAGAGTCAAGCCCCAAATGTCCCATACCTTGAGCCTGTTGCCGATGTTCTTTAGCCTGGGAGGCGGCCATGGCTTGGCTACTACTGTCTGACACTCCATTAAAAGACAAATCCGCGACACGAATCTTTGCTCTATTTCTTACGTTTTTCTTCACTGTCCCCCTCCCCGCTTAGCTCGTTGTCGCCGTGTGGGGACTTAGTGGGCGGCTGCCGGAGTGTGATGCTCCTTGGGACAGTCCTCTGTCCTTTTCTAGCCTTGTGCTCCTGTTGCCGTCCTCTCCAATTCTGCTGGGCACCTTTTCCTTTTCCTTCTGTTTCATTTTTCTCCCCCCTCTTCTCCTATCTGCTTGCTGTTTCCTGCCAACCTTTTGCTTGTTCTGGTTCTTCCCTTGGACTTCTTCTATTTTGACGCCCGGGTGCTTGAGGAGGCATACTCTTGCACCCGTAGAACTGTAGTACCCGATGTCGAGAGCGAGGGGAACCTTTTATTGTCAATCCTTTCGTCACTGAACCCGATCTCGACGGACTGTCGGTTTCTTAAGGTGGCGTTTGTGGGGCATATACTCACGACGCACCCCTAGGAGGCCCCGGCAAGATCGGCGATAGCTTCTTGTTGGGTGTCCTGCCTCTAATTGTGGCTCCATGGTGGGTGTGGGGGCACATTCGTGAATGAATTCTTCTTTTCGTAATGATGATGACCCCTGTTTCGGCTGTTTCTGGTTTACCTTCTCAGGCTCGTGGGGTGGGCGACCAAGCCCCCGAGTAAGTCCGTGTTGGAAGACCGGGCTCTGTAGCCTCCGCTGCATTGGGCCCCGACCTTGCTCCTCCTTTGGTCTCTCTGACTCCTTCCCCTGGCTCCCCTCCCTCCTCTGTGGTTGGGCCGAGCCCCAAGCCCCCAGTGGTGACTACCTCGTCCCCTGGCGCGGCTCCTTCTCTAGTTGTAACTACTGCGCCTTTTAACCCCTCTCTCTCTGGGGGTTCTCACCGCCGTCCTCGTCACGGCCGCTCTCGCTCGATTCCTTCCAGTTCTGCTACCTATCAAGCCTTGTTTGGTCCCGCTTCGTGGGCCAAATATTTTGATCTCCTCCCTCTTGATTCTGCGCCTCCTGACGATTTCTCCCTCCATCGACATCTCGTTGATTCCGTGGATGCCTCCATTACTTTTAACCCCACTCATCTCGGAACACGTGTCGTTGCTGCTCCTTCTCAGGATGCTGCTTCCCGCTTGGCTGCCTTATCCTGCCTTGGCGAGACCCCTGTTCGGGTCTCGAAGAACGCTCAGTTGAATGCCAGTGTTGGCACTATTTTGCTCCCGCCCCATGTTGCGACCAGTGTTCGGGACCTGAGCGACTGCCACGACGATATTCGACATATCCTTGCTGCCCAGAGCCATTCTATTCTCCAGGTGGACACGTTTACTCGTCCCCCTCGTGGTAGTCGCCGTCAACCCCTCCGGGTTGTGAAGATTACCTTTGATGGTAGGACCATTCCACCCTCTGTCATTCTTGCTGGTGCCAGGTGCTCTGTCCAGGAGTACATTCCTTCTCCTCGGCTCTGCAACAAGTGCTGGAGGTTTGGGCATGGTGCCCTCCGCTGCTCCGGGACTGTCTCTCTCTGTCCTTTGTGTGATGGCAAAGGTCACTCTAAGTCGGAGTGCACTTCTCCCCAGGCTCGTTGCCTCAACTGCGGTGAGGCCCATCCTACCTTCTCCCGTGCGCGTGTCCATTACAAGCTTGAGGCAGCCGTCCTCAACTTGAAGCACCGGGAGCGTTTATCTTTTCCTGAGGCGAGACGCCAGGTTCGCCGGCTCCCGCCTTATGCTAATATCTCTTATGCTCGCGTGTTGCGCTCTTACTCTCCTCGTCTTTCCCGCCTTCCTCAGACTCACAACCGTTTCCGGGCCTTGGACCCTGATGCGCCCACTGCCCCCTCCTCTGTTCCTTTGGGTTCTCTCCCGAAGGATCCTCCTCCTGGTCCTCTGTCTGGGGTTACCCTTCCTTCTACCCGGTCTGTCGTGTCTCCTGCGTCTTCTTCCTCGTCTTCCTCCGTTCCTCCTTCCCATCCTTCCCCTCCGTCTCTTGACTCTCCCCGCCGCCTGTCGGTGCAGGCTGATGTCCATCGATCTCCAAACGGCCGTCATGTGTGCTCTCGTTCAGCTTCTGTTGAGACGCTAGAATCCGTTGCCCAGTACGTGGTTGCTGGGACACCTGTCTCTTTACGTCAGAAGCGTAAACCTGGCTCCTCTCCTTCCTCCTCCCCGGCGGGTAAGAAGGTTTCGCTTTCTTCCTCGGCCCCTACTTCTGCCTCTCTCGCTCCTTCCCCTCCCATTTCGGTGGTTGCGCCCCCTGTTCCTGCTATGGAGGTTTCTTTAGCCCCCGCTTCCCTCTCAGTTGCTGCCCTTGCTGAGGTATGCTCC